GGTTATTTTTCACGTGACACTTATTGTTTTGATTGGATAATCAAAATCGGAAATTTTCGGCAAATATGAAAATCTGTATAACAATGGACGGTTCCTCCTGTTTATATAATGTGTATTATAAAATTATAAAATTATAATTTGAGTTAGCATTATAAATTTGACCAGAATTTATAGTAAATAAATTGACCAAAATTATAAAAACATAGTCCATTTGGAATTGGAATTGGACTGGACATCTCCATTAGGTTCAAAGTCCAATAGTTAATTATTGAAAATTGGATAATATTCACTTCCAACACTGCAAATGGAGGATTGCTTATCTTTGTCATTTTATATAAATTCTATAATATGCTTATTGAAGATGTTAGGCAAATATTCTAGATATAGACAATGTTTCAGTTTCATATAATCTCCATATATTTTTGACAATTTAAGAAAGCTGGTTAGAATAAAAGATAAAAAAGATCTAATGTAAAAAATGATCATAAAGATTTAGTAAATGGATTTATAAAAAAATCTAATTATGAAGATATAATATATGAAATTAGAATCCTTTAAATCCAGATATTAACGTTTGTGAAATTACAAATCTAGAAAAAAATGATAGTAAAAATGATATTATAGTTGGCATTGATATTGATGAAAAATAATTATTTATATATATATTCATTTTATAATTAACAAATAAAAATTATTTATTCTACTCAATATCTCTTTGAATGTTAAACACTATTTAAAATTATCAAAATTACTATTATAAATTAAAGATGAAACAAAAATAGTTACCTAATGATTCAACTTGAAAAAGAAGATAAATATTAATAAGAAATCATTTTAAGAAAAACAAATAAAAATCATTCTATAACTGTGAATTAAAGGAAAAGAACCAAATAGTAAAAAAAAAAAAGAAATTAAAAACTAAACTAAGAAAGACATACCGAAATATAGTAAAAAAATTAATAATTAAAAAAAAAGAGCTAGAATATCATAGAATATCTATATACAGGAAAATATTTTTAATGTGATAGTATTTTTATTAGATTCTTGTAATCCACATAATCCACCTGTATCAGTTTTTCAAAATTTTTAGACAATTTTTATAGTATTACGCAAATAGTATGTAAAGTGTTTTTTTACCTAATTTTTGATGTATTTACCTGAATTTTATCATCAAATGTAAATTTGTGTAAATGACATTTTGACTTAAAATTTATAACCTTTGAGGATATTTTAAGAACTTTTCAAGGTTATTTGCAAATGCTGAAAAATTTATTGATTTAGAACTTTTTGATATCATTCTTAAATTGAAATTAGATGATACTTATTTATTAATAGCCTACCATTATTTATGATTTGTTATTGAAACAGAAAGCTAAAAAGAAATACTAAAGAAAGTAATAAATAAAATATCAATTTAAATAAAGTTGGTTTGATATAATGACGAATTTCAGTAATTAAAATTACTTAAAGATGACTATATCAAAAGTTTTATTTAATAATGCATAGTTTTGCTAATATTAATATAAATGGATTGATGTATAGGTTTGAACTGGTGTGATGCTTGGAATTGTACTGAATACCAAAATTATGAACGATTCAATACAATATATTTCAAAGTTCTTTCTCCTGAGATATATAATAGTTATTTACCGCAAAATTAGAGATATCATTAGGGATCACGGTAGAACTGTAATCTTTGTGATATTGGCAATTGAGCAGTAAATAAATAATTAATAGTTATTCGGCACGAAGTGCCGAATAACTATTATATTGGGAAAATCAAATTTGGTTCCCAATATTATTAGCTACCTTGTAGGTAGCGGTAGTTATTCGGCTCGAAGTGCCGGATAAGTGATTTATCCGGTATCCCGTGATTTTTTATAATTAATAATGACTATAATAAATCAATTATCAGGCAAAAAATCGGTTATCAGGCAAAAAAATCATTATCAGGCATTAATAATTTTTCTTAATGCCTGATAACCGATTTTTGCCTGGTAATCGATTTATTATAGTCATTATTAATTATAAAAAATCACGGGATACCGGATAATATATTTTATGGTTACTAATACCCATGATAAATGATTATGTAATAATTGATCATGTGTTATAAAGTTATCAATTAACTAAACTGTTTGTTAACAATTATTTTTTAAAAAAAAATTTTCTTTCTCACAAAATTAAAAATGGAATCGAATAATAACACAATTTAATGCTGCCTGCGAACTTATAAATAATCCATAATTACAATTTAAAATATCTAAAAATAGTGAAATTAAAAAAGCAATTTTATTTTATCAAAAAAAATCACATGTTCAAACTACAGAGAAAGCAACAAAAAATTGGTTAGCATATTTTGAAAAATTTCGAAAAGATATAGTTGATTCTTCGTCACAAGAGAAGCAATATAAAATACAATTGCATCTTATTTCAGACATGTCTATACTAGTAAATCAAGTAGCAAGTTACATTTCTATTATAAAAAAAGATGGAACTAAATATAAAGCATTAATAATAAAATAAGAATTGATGGAATTAATCGATATTTAATGAAATTTTCAATGATTCATGGAATAAATTTACGGGATTGTTATCAGTTTCCTGTTTTAGCAAGTATTCTTGATATTAAAATGAAAATGCTTCAAGATAATGGGCTTGGTAAAGTAAAAGGATCTGCAACCTATATCACTGCCATTTAAATCAACATAATTTAAATTAGCATTACTCTTATAAGTCCTCATAAATTCCTAGCTTCAACTCAACAAAATATTACATATATTTTATCAAATTCTGCAACTTCAATATCAACTCCAGATACTCTTATAAAAAAGTATTTTTTCACAATACTCTTTTATTAGCTTGTCGGGGTGGTGAGCATTATCAATTAAAAATTATTCAATTTCATTTTTGTGAAGATGGTGGAATTGATTTTCAAAGATTTTGTGCAAAAAACAATTAATGAGGAATAATGGGTGGTGCAGCACAAAAGGTTCCTATTCCAGTTGATTTATCTAATGCTAGAGGACCTTGCTATGGTTATCGATTATATTTTAAAAAAGGCCATTATAATCAGATTGTTATTTACAGACCAATCCAAAATGTAAGTTTATTTATAAATTTATATTTATTTTTTAAGTATTTACAAATTTTAATTTATAGGGAAGGAAACTGGAATCTGGTATTGCAAACAACATATTGGTCAAAATAATTTATCTGGATTTATACAGGTCATCGAAGTGTTGATGCAGTACGAAAATATAAAGTATCAAATGATCAACAAAAAAATGGATTGCAACATTTTATTTCCATTTATAATTTACAAGATCATCAAGAATCTCAAATAAAAAATATTACCGATTACAAATTTCACAAATTACAAATCTTGAATCACAGAATTTAACAAGAAATGTTCTTTCTGATAATAATGATAAAGAAAAGACGCCAATATTCAAAGAATGCCATTTTCAAAATGTTAACTTTTATTTTAATTAGAATATATTTACATAGTCATAATTAACAAATTTAAAAACAAAGTCTTTAATTGTATTTGAAACTATGTAATTTTAAAAAACTTTATTAATAAATAATTTCCCAGTACGATTTTCATGTGATATATCCCGGTAATGACGAAATATTGATATTTTCCCGGAAAATTCAACTCCGATAATAAATCCAGTAAAATATCGATGTGCAGTATCATGGGCGAATGATTAGTAAACAGGGAATATATTACTTAATAACACTTTTTTATTTTTACGATTCGATTTGTGTAGTTGGTTATCACAAGCGAAGTCTATATGAAGACATAAGGAAGAGTTGAAAGTGTATTGAGATTTTTATTAGATATTAGAAATCCGTAAGTCAAGACTTGCAACAATCGGTCTCTATTCTTTCTGTAATTAATTTTCCAGTGTATATATACTAAATTGCGGACTAACCATTTGCGTAATAATAAATTACACAAATTATAATATACAATACAAATGCTAGAAATAAATCATACTAAATAAGATAATGAAAATTAACTAAAACTCTGAAATGTATGCTATTCACAACATTTGCCGCAGTACGATTTTAACCGCAGTTTCTATTGTTGGACATTTTTAAAGCTAACACCGGTTAATTTTTCACCGGTAAATTAACCATTAAGATGTTTATCTTGTTAAAAGTTTTTTTTTAACCAGTTAAATTATTTAATTCAACTCTGGCTGAAATATAATTTTCGGGCAGAATTACTTGTGATTACAAAATTTTGCTACAAATGAACTCGAATGAGAATAAAGATAACGGAAAGTAAAAAAAAATCAGAATAAATAAAATATTTACAACTTGATATTTATTGATAAAATTAGATTATTATAAAGTTGAGTTGAGTATATTTATTGAATTATGAATATACCCTTTTGCTCAGAGAATAATTTATATGACCTATTTTTTTTTTTAATTGTTGTATTTTTTAATTTATAAGTTGTTCATAGCTTTATATTTGTTTGCTTATATTTTCACTTCAGATAATATATTTTGGCTATATTTTATTATCACTATTAATTTTTATCATTCATAACATACTATTTGTTAAAATAAAGTTTCGATCCATAGTAATTATTTATCTATTATATTTGGTAAGGTTGACAAAATATGGTAAATAAGCCAATTAGTTACATTGTAACTGTGTAACCTCAAATAATGATATTTTACTAAGGAATTTTCAGTTTAAAAGATAACAGAAGTTAACGGCATATTGTTACATGTATATATAATTTAATTATTCTTATTCGAAATATGTATGTTCTATTAATTTCGGCAAAGTTTAATCTTAGAAATGTTGTAGATCATTGGACAAAAGCCAAATTGTCCTACGGCAAACTTGTCTCCTGGCCAATATGCCATCCGGCCATTATGTTTCGAGGACAAAAAGGCCTAATAACAATTAGTCCTTGCTGGGTTTTTTTATACAAAGAGGTAGGATTTCGCTTGTGTAGAAAAGCAAGTTCCCTACATAATAATAATAGATATAAATCCCCTTTCCTTTCTCTTGTAACGATAATGAAAGAATATAATAAATTACGTATCTGATCGTATAGAGCGCCGACGATTGAAGTAATACTTGATTTACGTGAATTTATGTTAGATTTCATTTGTTATTAATAAAAAATTTAAAATAATAAACTTTCTGCTTACCTTTTCTATTGTTATAACCAACAAACGTCTCGAACTGCGCGCAACAATATCGTTCAAAGATTTCTGTTCCGTTTCAATTCATGGACTTTTATCGTCCAATTCCAATTATGTTTGGGCTTGAACTAATAATGAGTAGTAAGTAAATCGGTAGTTTATACCCTTGATCACTAAAAGGATTACATCATTTCTCAGATATCCCTTCAAGATACAAAAATAATAACGATTTCAAATTTTCAATTCCTTAACGTATTTGATAAAACTGATAAATTTTAGTTTTAATTGAAACATTTGCTCATCTGGGGTGAGTGCTGGGAAAATGGACCAAATCGACATTTGACAAAAAAATTTTTTTTAATGTTATTAAATGTAGATTTAGTTGAGGAACATTTTTTACTTAATATAGAAAGCACGCTAGCATAATAAAATATTGCGCCACGGCCTTGTAACACTTTCGTTACCCTATATCTGGTTAGTTACTTTTTAAATTGAGGAGATGTCGTGTCGATCAATTTTATACCAAGAATAATGAGTGCTGAGAAAATGGTCCAAATCTACAACCAATTAGATTTGATGCAA